ACATAAAATATTTTTCAACATAGATGAAGAGTTTGTTCTTCTAGGGATCTCTCTCTCTCTCTCTCTCTCTCTCTCTCTCTCTCTCTCTCTCTCTCTCTCTCTCTCTCTCTCTCTCTCTCTCTCTCTCTCTCTCTCGTTGGAATAGAAAGACTTATTTGACATTACCAGGCTAGTAGGGTTATATGATAACATTATCAACATTTCCACACTGGAGAATTAGAAATAAAAATATCCATGTCAAGAAAATAAAGATGTTACACGCAAGCCTCTGTTAATTGAAACTAACAGGAGGGACCAATTTTAGGGATGGAAAAGATTGTGAGGACCATTGTTTGAAGGAAAATTTTAGAGGGACTAACATTGAATGTTGGCATATTTATAGAGACTAAAAACATGTTTAACCATAGAAAATATATCTTAATAATAATAATAATAATAATAGTAATAATAATAATAATAATAATAATAATAATAATAATAATAATAATAATAATAATAATAATAATAATGTGTCTTTGACTATTATATTTTTTGTCAATCTCTGCACGGAGTCTATTGGAAGTCTCTAATTAGCCTTATTTCTAGAAGGTTTGTTAACTTGCGTTAAAGATAGGTTAGTTTGAGTATAATTTTTCATCTAAACTCAATTATTAATTATGTTTTTATTTTTACCTCTCTTTTATGAAGATGTGTGTTATGGTGTGAAAGTGAATTGTTAGAATCTAAAGAAGGTTTCTTTGAGGGGGGCAAGAATTATGTTAAAATCTCTTGGGTGTGTTGGGATGATGTTTATAAGTCGAAGTGTTTTGGTGGGTTGGGGACGATGGAGATTTTTATCTTAAGGTACTCGATTGTGGGGGAGATCCTAGATGCTAGATATAGAGCTTACTACTTCTTCTCTGAGGGGTGGTACGTCCATCATTCTTCATCTATCACCAATTTGGTGGAATGGGGTCTTTTCATAGGTTCTAAAGTGGGGATTTCTCCCGGCTAGTTTGTGGAAAGGATTAGCAGAAAACTTAGGACTAGTATTACCACCACCTTTTGGAATGATGAGAGGTTTCCTAGGCTTTTATCCTATTGATCTGTGTAACATCCTATTTTCTCTGTGCATAATTATACAATAAAATCATAGTATTCACATAGTTAAATAGGATGTCACACATTCTCTTTTCAAAACATACATGTCATGTAATACTTTGTCAAATAAAACAACAATCAACACCTTCACTTGAGGTTTCATCGCATGCTCACCTTCACTTAGGGTATCATTGCAGCAGATTTCTTATCAATAAAGCATGCAATCAATAAATTACTTAACTTCGAATACTTTATAAAATAAACGAAATCATAAATGCAATCTCTCCAAAAATTTCAAAACATCAACCGTGAGAGTATACTTTAACTCGCAAATATTCCCCAGTGATGTATATAAGAGCACGTAAACTAAACGCAGAAAGGAAAAGAAGAAACAACCTCATGTCGTCCTCCATTCTAAGAAGCTACTCAGTTACCTACTTATCTGTGCCTCGAAGAGGAGCACAGACCAAAACAACAACAAAGGAGTGAGAAATCACAAACAATAATAACAGAGTAGGATATTCAAACAACATATTCTACATAATATCATTCATAGTATATCACAATACATTTCCACACCCAAACTTATCAATCATTCACAACTCAACAATTACGCATATCATTCATTATGCAATGCAACTCGACTATGCAACTCTATGCAACCTTGAAAAATGAGTGTACGACCTCGCGAAGCGCAATCGCACGCTCGCAGGATGAACTTAATAGAGTCGCCACTGGTCTTTATTTATTCCCATAGAGGGAAAGGTAAAATATTGAATAAAACCCCTAAAAGAAAGATAAGGATATGGTCATCAAACAAATATCTGAGTTTGGAAGTCGGTTACGCAAGGGGGGAAGGTATTAGCACCCCTCACGTCCGTTGTACTCAATGAGAACCATTTAGTTAGGGTCTAATGAATGTTAGCTTATGTTAATTTCTAATCTTCTATTTATTGAATGGGGAAAAAGAGAGAAAAGAGAAATATTTTTGGATTTTTATTAAAAAGAAATTACCTTAAAAGGGTTTTATTATTAGGGGCCTGACAAGATTTCACAATCCTGCTCCTACGTATCTCAAAGAGAAATCAAGGTACACGTAGTTCTGGGTAAAAAGGTTTGTTTGTTGGTCGATTTTAGCGAAAGATATCTTGTACTAATCGACATAAAACATTGTTTTACCCAAACAGGTGAGGAACATACGTTTATAATACATTGAATGGATTTACAAATCACATTCACGCGACTTATCTCAACTAAACGGTTGTGGATGAAGCATTGATTTGCATCATCTTAATACAAACGTCTTTCGTTTGTAGAAAGGTTTTTAAGATTAACCACACAGCTACGAGAAAAAATAGTTTAATTGGTTGGATGTATTTTAGGTGAATGACGAACATTTGATAAGAATCAATCGTTCAAAGAGTTACGCTAGAATGATAGATTCCAACAGTTCTTTTTCATTCAAAGTTATTTTGAAAATTGTTTGGTGGACAACGAACGGTTGATCATAATCAATTGTTCAAAGAATTACGCCAAGATTCTAGATCCTAACGACCCTTATTTGTCCAAGTTAATTATTAAGTGTTTTAAGAACAAAAGAAAAGAATCAACGGCTACCCCAAGGCGCGTGGATCAGGACCGATCATTCAAGGATTCTGCTAGAACGCTAGATTCCAACAGTCCTCTTCTTTCGTGTTTTATGGGAAAAAATTGAAGTCGATTGATTTGATTTTAAAAATGGTTTTTGAAAGTGGTTTTGAAACAGTTTGAATTCGAGATTGAAAATGGTTGCAATATTAGTGATTATTCACGTATGTTAGGGTATGGACATGGATAAACATCATCTAATTAAACGACTAAGCACACATGAAATCCATTAAACAATTAAATCTCATTATCAACAAGTAAATAAATAATTAAATCCGATGATCAACTAATCATCTAGACAACTAATTAACTACTAATTAACTAATCAAATAAGCAAAGAATTACTTAATTAATTATTTAAACTAAGAAAATAAATAAACAAGTAATTAAAAGGATGGTAGTGAAAAACATGAGAGGTGTGCATACTAATATGAGGTGAAAAATAAGTGTGAGCCTAAATATATGACAAGAGCCCATAACTTTATCAGCATTTATTTTTTAAAAAAGACATCATTATTAAGAAGAAAAGTAAAATAAAAAAGTACTAATATTAATAATAATAACAAGGATGCTAAAACAAAACAAAAAAAGAATCTGCCAAGTGAGAAATATGAGGCGCTGCAGACACTTTAAAGAGTAGGATTTTGAATTTTAAAAGCCTCTAATCCAAATCCGACACATAGCAAGCCTAAAGGAAACAAACAAAAAAAACTACATCTCTTCTTTCACGAGGTGCATCTCTTTCACTTTCAGAAAAAGAAAAAAAAACAACAAACAAAAAACTCACATGTCTCTATCTCTCTTGCTTCTCACTCTCTTTTTCACTCTTTAGCTCCAAACTTAATCATACCAAAAAGAAAGAAGAAAACAATGTATATTTCAAAATCAAATATGAAAATAAAGTTATCAAAATGGATGTAGCCTGCTGACTCTTGAACGGAGGGTGGGGCAGTGTTGAAGATGAGTGAAGGGTGTCATGAGCGGTATTTTATATGTTGGTAGTGGCTGGAAGGGATTCGCCGCCAGAGCTTAGTGGTTTTTGCGCCAAAGATAGAGGTGGGAGTTTTCAAGTTGGCCGAAGATCGATGTTGTTGTGTGAGGTCGATAACGGCATGAAGGATGGTGGTGGAGTTGAGTGATTTGAGGTGGTTGAAGGAAGCTGTTGTTGGGTTATTGTTGTTGCTGGGAAACCGAAATGGAGCTAAATTGAAAATGTTAACATTGTGATATGTGTAGACAAGTGTTTAGTTAGAGCACAATGGTGTTCACATGGCCATTGTTATGGTTTTCCAATGGTGTTGTAAAGGTGGTGGTATGGAACAATTTTTCTGGTATGTGTAATGTTGACGCAATGAAAGTGGGTATGAAGAGTTGCGGGCAATGAATTTCATACAGTGAAGAAGATGAAATCGTGTTTTTCAAAATGAAGGAAGGTAGACTTTATTTCTTTTTGTTTCAGCCGGTGTCTTTAATCCTCCCTCATCCATTTTTGAAAGATACCATGGAGTGTTTGTTTGGTTTTTGGAAGAGGCTTAGGTGATGAAGTTGGTGTGAGATTTTTCTTGGCTTGGATACTTGTTGTTGAAAGAACAAAAAATGTGAACTTGGATAAGATGGTGGTAGAGAATAGAATATTATGAAGTGAAGGTGAAATGTGTTGTATTTTTGTAGCACAAAAAAACAGATAGCGTATTGTAGTATACGGTTTGTGTTGATTTTTTATGAGAAAAGAATGGACGGAAAAGTGTTCATGGTTATGAAAAAAAATTTCTTCAAGAAACTTTTCACATTTTTATTTCAAATGGAGAGAGAGGGTCTTAGTTGTGATTGGGCGCGGTTGTGTCCTAGGGTTCTTGGTCTCCCTTTTTTTCAATGCCATGCCTCTTTCAAGATGGAAGTATTTGTTTAGAGCTTTAGTAGAAAAAACAAAAATAAAAGTGGAAATGTTGTGGGTCACTTTTTTTCATGAGGATCTTCCCTTCCTTCTTTGATGCACATTTTTCTTAAAAAGAAAAGATTCATGTGTTTTTAATAGCCACTACCTAATTGGCCTGTCACTATTAGTTAGTGTCACATGCATTAGGGATTTTTCACATGCCCTTGTAGAGTAATTTGTGAATCAAAAATAATTTAGGAATATAAAAATAAAGATAACATTCAAATCAAATTAAATAGTCAAAATAAAATTGAAATACAAATTTATATAATTATATTTAATTGTTTCTAATATTTTTCTATATTATTAAGGTCTGCTCTACTAGGGTTGGGAAACCATGGGAAAACGCGGTGTCGGTCGGCCAAGGACTCAGGTGGTGGCGCACCGGAAAGGGGTTGAAAGGACCATCATTACACAAGCCATTATTGAACCAACCATGGGAGAAAATGATCAACAGGGAATCACGAATGACACTATCACCAATGCTACAACAACCACGAATGAAGATGAAGCGGAGAAACAATCAGAAGAGCCAGCACAAGTAACCAATAACGCAGATACAATTAGGAGCAAAGCACCCCTGAAGGCGCTGACAGAAACCCTATCCAAACCATGGGTGGAATTGATAAAAGGAAATAGGAACCTTAACAGGGGTATGGCAGTTGAATTCGTGGCACCTGAAATAATCAATAGAGAACTTGAGATACAAATCGATGACTCAGACGTGGAGGACGAATTAGAGTTTTGGCAAAATGCTATGATTCTGTTCGCATTGGGTGACTCTCTATCTATGAATGGTGTCAAGAAATTCATGAAGAACTCATGGAGCTTTGTCATGATGCCAAACTTTATTATAATGATGAAGGTCTCTTCATAGTCAGGTTTAAAAGTGAGCAGGATAGAGAAACGGTTATGTCACTATTTCCTGTGAAAATTGGAAAAAAATCGCTGATATTTCAAATCTAACTTTGGTGACTCACAGGATCGATCCGATTGATCCTAGGACATATGCTAAATTTTAATTCAAAGTAAATCCTAAAGACTGGACACTTCGACAGTGTTTATGATGAAAAGTTTATATTAAGAGTGCATGGTTCGACAGAAACGTAAGAGCGTTAAATTGAAAGAAGGGCTGAAGACTTTAATAAAAAAAAAGGCTTAAAAGAAACAAGACATAACGTTGAAGATGTAAATTGTAGGAAAGTAAGAGATAAACTCTTTTGATACAAAGTGAAAGTAAATTTCATTAGAGCATAAAATGGTGTTTTACATAACGTACATTGTCCCAAGACTCTTTTCTCTACACACGGATACTTTGAGTAAATTTGGAGTGACTTGTACAAAGTGAACACAACATATCGAATCCTATTGCTAGAACCCCTATTTATAATAATAATACTAACTGCTGTTAACTTCCTTAAGATAGTTAACATCTGACAAGTGTTGTGTTGCATATATCTACCTCTTGGATGTGCGCCACTTGTCTTATTCAGGATTGGACTAGAATAACTACTCACTCCTTTATTTGAATTTGAAACCCCTTTAGTATTGGACATCATTCTTGGTCGAAAGGAGCTTCTTAACTCTTAGAAATATTTTCTAAGTCCCAAAAACTTTGTCTTCCTTATGTAAGTGCCTTGGATTTAGCCCACCATAAAAGTCCAGTCGAAGACTCCTTTACACTATATCAAGAATTTAACATTCCAACCAATATTTCCAATTTAACATGGGCGTCGAATTTCTGAGCTAACAGTCATAGGGTCCATACTTCATATATGGGAAACTTGTGTTCATCAGAATATGGAGTCCGGAATTTGAAATGAAACAAGACCTTTTGTGTGTCTTGCCATTGTGGGTGGCTTTTCCAATGAAACAAGACCTTTTGTGTGTCTTGCCATTGTGGATGGCTTTTCCAAATCTTCCTATGCATCTGTGGGGTGAGAAAAGCCTTTCTAAGATTGCAAGTGCAATTGGAAAACCAATCACAACAGACAAATGTACTGCAATGAAGCTATGCTTGAGTCTTAATAGAAGTGGATATCACACAGAGACCAAAAGAGACCATCAATATTAGGAATCACAAAGGCAAATTATTGGAGCAACGAGTAGAATATGAGTGGAAGCCATCATATTGCATATTCCCAAAGTTGCTTGAAGATAGGTCATGAATGTGATCTGAAGAAGAACCCTGAAAAGAGTACCAAAATCTAGAAACCCATCACCAACAAAGTTCAGATAAGCCAGCAGAACCAGAAGGTGCACCACACACAAATGGAAGGTATACCTCAAGACAAACAAAATAAAGAAACTACTAAGGACATCGATGATGTGAGGACCCCTACCCCAGAAAAATCAGATGCAGACTGGACCCATATCACTACAGCAAGTAAAGTGCAAAGAAGCAGGAAAGGTATGACTCCTACACATAAAATTGCATTGGTCGATTTTCAAAACTCACTTACTCCCCTAAGGATTGGAGATTTTTCTAAGGGAGAAAACCATCTTGACCCATGATAGTCACTTGGAATGTTGGGGCATCAATAAAGAAGCTAGGCATAGAGAGATAAGCTCCTATATCTCTACATTTAGTGTACCAATCTGTGCCTTGTTGGAAACTAGGGTTAAGCAAAATAATGCTAATAAGGTTAGAAAGAGTTTTGGACCCAACTGGAATTTTGAAGATAATTATGATCATCACTCAAATGGTAGGATATGGATTCTTTGGAAGGAAAATAAAGTGAATATAAAAGTGCTCAAAACCAATGCTTAGTTCATTCATGTAGAAGTGTACGCCTTTGATCAAACACATATACAAACCATATCTATGATTTATGCTTTCAATCAAATAGAACACATGTGGAGTTTGTGGAAAGATATTGAACTCTTAAGCAACAATACTTCTGGCCCTTGGATTGTCATGGGAGATTTTAATAATGTAGCATCTTGCCAAGATAGGATTGGAGGGAAAGAGGTTAACGAAGCTGAATATAGAGACCTAATAGATATGATGCAAATGGCTGAATTGTTTGAAGCTACAACCAAAGGTCCTCACTTTACCTGGACTAACAAGCATACTACAAGGGTAATTTACTCTAGAATAGATAGAGTTTTGGGAAATTCTGCTTGGTATCTGAAATTCCAAGATGTTATGATAGAGAACCTGGACCCAACATCTCAGATCATAATCCTGTGAAGATTAGCATTTATGAACATCACATGAGGAGACCTACCATGTTTAAATTTCTGAACTGTGTGACTCATGAAGAGGCCTTCCTTAAAACTGTTGATGATAGTTGGCTTGTGGAGGTTAGGGGGGACCTATGCAAGCCCTTTGGACAAAATTGAAAAGGCTCCAACAATAACTCAAGCCTATGACCAAGAGATTCACTAACAATCAGATTCAAATGACACAAGCTAGACAAGCACTGCACCAGACACAAGAGAGACTTTAAAAGGACCCTTTCAATGAGATAATTGTACAACAAGTGAAAGTTTATATAGAGAAAGTCATACAGTTGAACCAAATATAAAAGGATATCCTAAAATAGAAATTGAAGGTTAATTGGCTGAAGCTAGGTGATAACAACAATGCATACTTCCATGCCTCAGTAAAGGAGAAGAACAAGCAGAAAGGCCTATACAGTTTGCAAGCTTTGAATGAAGATATACTCAGTAAGCATGAGGACATTGAAAACGAGATTATGGAGTTCTATAAACATTTTGTTGGCACTCAAAATCAGAATATAAAGAGTAAAGAGATTCCTGTTATTAGATATGGTAAAACACTAACAAGAGAAGATGCTCAATACCTTATCAGGCCTGTGGAAGATAAAGAAATTTGGGAAGCTCTTACCAGCATAGGAGACACAAAGGCTCCAGATATTGATTGCTACAATTCCTATTTTTTCAAAAAAAATTGGCACATTGTAAAGCATGATGTGAGAGCTGCTGTAAGGGAGTTCTTTGACACTAATTATTTGTATAGGGCCTTTAACTGTTTTCTTATTACATTGATTCCCAAGACCCCATAATCTAGAACAATTAAGGAGATGCAACCTATATTGGTACAAGGGTATGGTAAGAAGCAGTTGTCTCCCAGATGTATGGTTCAATTAGACATTCAGAAGGCATATGATACAGTGGATTGGAAAGATTTGGCTCATATTATGATGGAAATAGGTATCCCCCATATCTTCATTAATTGGATTATGACACATGTTACTTCTGTATCATATAGGTTATCAATTAATGGAAGCCTTTAAATCATATTTAGTGCAAAAAGAGGGATGAGATAGGGAGACCCCATCTCACCTTTTTTGTTTGTGATCACTATGGAGTACCTTCATAGGATGCTTCAAACTTTGGCAAAAACTCATGATTTCAATTTCCATCCTAGGTGTGAAAGGCTCAACATCATAAACCTATTCTTTATTGATGACATTCTGCTTTTTACTAGGGGAGATAGTGCGTCTCTGCAGTTAATCATGGAGAAAGTTTAGAAGTTTTTAGATTTAATAGGTTTGTGTATCAGCAACATGAAAAGTAAATTGTATATAGGGGGAGTTGCTGAAGATGCTAGAAGACACTTATACCAAGTTACATGCTTAGTAGTAGGGGAAATGCCATTTAGGTATTTGGGAGTGTAAAGACATAACTTCTCAAAGGTTTTGATGACGACACATATTCTACAATTCAAGGATGGATTAACAAAAATAATTACCAAAGCTTCAAGCTCAAGATCACATTTCAAGAATAAAATTGTCAAAGTATTAAATCAATTCTTGAAGAATTATGAAGATGAACTAGCATAACGGAAAAGGTATAACACTCAACCTCTAAATGATTATGAAAGTGTTCAAACCTTCCCTTATTCATGCCATAACCATTAGGAATGTTTTTGTGCATCTCTATAGTCCTTTCACTTGTTTTTTAAAGCATTTTTCCAAATCTGAGCTGAAGTAATCGGTTACACATTTAAGGGTAATCGATTACCCTATTGAAATTTTGAATAATTTTTTCACGTTAAAGGCATGCAATCGATTACCTCCAGAGTGGTAATTGATTACCACTTTTGCAGTAGCCAAAAAAACTGCATCTCTTCACGTAATCATTTTTTAAATTCCTTCTTTTCAACCATGGCGTCTCTTGGTTGATTACACTCATTTGAAGAGGTGTTTAAAGGCTATATAAACCTCATAATATCATATTTTCAAATTCACCTTCTTGCAAATTTTCAATCAATTTTCATATTCTTCAAAACTTTCAAAATTTTGTCTGTGTTCAAAACGGAATTATTCAAGAGTGAAACTTTGTGCATAAACCTTCATATCAAACCTTTCTAGTTTCATATCTTACAAAGAACACTTGTATAATTATTGTGAGAATTGTTTTTTACAAGGAGAAGATCAACTTTTTGATTGATAAGCATTAAATATCCATATTTTACATACTTACAAAATTCATATTATACTTTATTTGTTACATCTTAATTTTCAGGATTGTTGAAATTAAGATTGTGAAGTTGTAATCCTTGTTGTCCAGAATTATTGGAAACATGAGGTCCATTGTGAGAGAATTGTTCTCAATTGGACTTAGTGAAAAATCCAAGAGGTTGTTCTTGGTATTGATTTGTTAGTGTCTATATAGAAAGACTAGGAAGAGTCTTGTCTAAGTCCTGACATTATTAAAAATATCTTTCATGTTGAATGGGGAATGGAGTACTCTCAGACTGTGAGGGGAACCAGGATATATTCTTGTGTCTTTTACTTTTCGCATTTATAGTTTTCATCACATAGTAATCACTTAGGAAAGTAAAACATAAAATTGTCAAAAATCCAGAAAAATATTCTAAGTACCTAACTCAGCCCCCTCTTAGGTGCAAACTTTACTTATAGGGAGTGCCTCTCAGTAATATGAAGTTAACTGTCAAAAACTGTCAACCTCTAATTGATAGGATGATGAAGAGGATAAAACATTGGAGTACCAAGTTTTTGTCATATGCTGGAAGACTTCAACTAATCAAATGTGTATTGTTCTCTATGGTGAACTACTGGATGCAGGTCTTCCCTTTGCCCAAAAAAGTTATCAATCATGTTGAAAGGTTGTGCAGGGTTTTCTTGTGGACTGATAAGGAAGATAACAATTGAAAATCCCCCATAGCTTTGGATCATATATGTGACCTTGTCTCTTCTGGTGGTAGGAACATCATATCTTTATTTGAATGGAATAAAGCTACCATAAGCAAGATGATGTGGAATGTGTGGACCAAAAGAGACATTCTTTGGATTAGATGGCTCCATGCATATTACATTAAACAGATGGATGCACAACACTTCACCCCAGGCCAAATCTGTTCATGGATTATTAGAAATATGTTCAAAAATAAATCAATGCTCACTAACTCTGAACCATGGCACCAATTCTTGAAAGATGATGGATATAGAACTAGAGACATGTATACCTACTTGAGGGGTGATAAACCTAAAGTGGATTGGAGGTGTTTGATTAACGGAAATGTGGCAAGGCCAAGGGCGATTTTCACTTTGTGGATGGCATGTCTGTCGCTTTCGCGAAAATAAGGTGTCGGCATGACAAAAGAGTCGCCACCTTTAGTTATTTATCCCTCAGAGCGGGAAAGGAAACGATCGGAAAAAGCCTGACGAAAAAGGGTAAGACAAGGTCATCGCAACCATTGTCTGGGTTCGGGAGTCGGTTACGCAAGGGGAAGGTATTAGCACCCCTCACGTCCGTCGTACTCGACGGGATCCACGCTTGTTAGTTTACTTGGACGGGTTGGTTTTATTCTATCTACCTATCAAGGCTGGCTGAAAAAGAAAAGAAAAATGACTCGGCAAAGCGTCGCACTTTATGCCTACGTATTCTCATCAGAGAATGAGAAATCAGAGTCAACGTAGTTCGGCCTACGAAGGGTTATGGGGGAAGGTAGCTCGCCAAGACTTCGCCATCTTGTGCCTACGTACTCTCAACAGGCATGAGAGATCAGAGCTCACGTAGTTCGGGAAACTACGGTTTATTTCCTGTCTTTTACGAAAGAAGTGTTTTTTATTGTGTTTGCGATTTCAACCGCACTAGAGACTATAACCTGAGAGTGAATGCGTCGCATGTCACCCAAAGGGTACCATACTAAACATCTAGACCATGGAAAAGAAACTCTCCCACAATCCTTTCTCAGATAGCTTAAGGCTCGTAACGTACGAAAGAAATCATTCATGATTACTGTATCTTAAACTGTTTTGAGATGAGAAGAGAATAGGCCCAACTAGGAGGGAGACTATCAAGTCCTACTGTTATCATGCCATGGATTCGTTCTATGGTTGAGGTTTGAATAGGGAACTCCTAGAAGTTGTCATGCATAGGTTTCAACCTAAAAGTCTATCATCAAATCCTTATCAAAGGAAATGAGATTCCTAAGGGATCATGTCAATGATACACCAAAACAGACAAAGCATCAGCTTAACAGTAAAATGCATGCAATGCAAGTGAGGGAGGAAATG